CCCACCTGCCGCTCAGCCGTCCCCCACTCACCTTATCCATCTCCACATGTCGATCTGGGGAGGATGGGACCAAGCAGTGCCGTCTGTGCCCAAAAGAGCCCCCGGGTGGGGTACATAGTTCTGGCCTGCAGGGCACAGACAGTGAGCCAGGTGGGGCCCTGGGAAGTCTGCACAACCTGCCAGTGACTCCTCCCAGCCCAGGGTGTGGCCAAGAGAAAGACAGTGAGGCTGGCCCAGCGGGTCCATTATGTCCTCCTGTGGCATCCCTCACCCAGACAACTCTCCCCGCACTGGGCTTCTCTCCAGGTGCCCAAAACCTGACCCCATCCCCCTCCAGCGGGCCCACTGCCTGCTGCCTGGGACAGGCCTGGCCCCCAGAGCAGTGCTCAGGTGGGGGCGGGCAGTGAGGCCACCACAAGGGTCTTCCCGAGGGGCCAAACTCCCCTTGCTCACCGCTGGGTTATCTCCACAGCCGGGAGGCCCTCCGCACTGCTCAGCAGCTCCCCAGCCTGCAGCTCCGGGCCCACAGCCTGCTTCTCTGCTCTGGGGTCAGAAAGATGGCCTGTTTAGGGTGCTGGGGGCCAGGAGGTTTTGTGCCCTCAGTGGCAGCAAGAAGTACTCAGAAGGGCACACAGAAAGCCTACAGGCTGCCCAGCCGGCATGGCTCAGTGGTTGAGCACTGACCTATGAACCAGGAGGTCATGGTTCGATTTCCAGTCAGGGCACATGCCCAGGTTGCGGGCTCGATCCCCAGTGTGGGGCATGCAGGAGGCAGCCTATCAATAATTCTCTCTCATTATTGATGTTTCTATCTCTCTCTCCCTCTTCCTTCCTCTCTGAAATCAATTTTTAAAAATATATATTTTTTAAAAAGCCTCCAGCCCTAACCAGTTTCACTCGGTGGATAGAGCGTCGGCCTGCGGACTGAAAGGTCCCAGGTTCGATTCCGGTCAAGGGCATGTACCTTGGTTGTGGGCACGTCCCCAGTGGGGAGTGTGCAGGAGGCAGCTGATTGATGTCTCTCTCCCATCAATGTTTCTAACTCTCTATCCCTCACCCTTCCTCTCTGTAAAAAACCAATAAAATATATTTTTAAAAAATTTAAAAAAATAAAAAAGCCTCCAGACTCTGAGACTTGGGGTAGGAAAGGGCCAGTACCTGGGGGAAGGGCAGCTGTGGAGAGTCTCCGGACAGCATGGGGCACTCACTTACCCCTCAGGCAGCGTGATGTACTTGTGCGGAATGAGCCCGCAGGTGCCAGCATACTCGCCCCGCCACCAGTCGTCCGAGGCCCGCTCGTGCAGCCGCAGCACGTCCCCACGCTGGAAGGTCAGCTCCTTGGCCGTGCGGCCCGTGTAGGAAAAGCAGGCCACCGCCTCCACGACGCCCTCCAGGACTGGGGAGAAGAAGGGGTCTGAGTGGGGGGGTGGAGTGGGCACCCAGGGCAGGGCCAGGGTGGGGTCCTCCTTCCAGATACCCTCACCATCCTCCTGGGCTGGGGTCCCAGCTTCCAGCTCCGGCTCGTTCTCGCCTGCCAGTCCCTCCACCTGGGTGTCCCTGAGGCCCAGAGTAGAGCAAGGACGATGAGCATTTAGGGGGTTCCGGTGGACCGCCCCCCGAACCCCGTCCCCCAGCAACACAAAGAGCGTACCCCAGGCAGCTGGCGGAAGGCGGTGCCATGCACTTCTCATAGACAGGGCCCGGCAGCAGGGTGAGGGGTGGGAAAACCCGTGCGGGCTGCACAATGAGCGTCTGCACCAGCTGGTTCACCTGGCCCTGCAAGGCCACGGGGTCCTGCCCAGGGGGCACGGGCAGCAGCGTCGGCCCAAAGCACACGGCCAGGTTGTAAGGGTCCATCATGTTCTCATCGCTATACTGGGCCAGGCTGGGGGCACACGCGGGTCACAAGCAGGGAACTCCCTGCCCCGTGTCCCCTGCCCCCCCTGGGCAGCCCCCCTGGCCCCCGAGAAGCACTCATGGGGACCGGCCCTGCCCACCCCGCCGGCCTCGGGCCCTGGCCTTACCCGCAGAAGCCAGAAGCTCCCGGAATAGGTCCGGGGGGAAGAGTGGGGGCTCCAGGCTCCGAAAGTAGAGCTTCAGGACGCCCGCCACCGAGTCCAGGTCGCAGGCTGAGCAGCCTTCCACCAGGGGGTCCTCCCCTGAGGACAACACAGGGTGCAGGAGGCTGAGCACAGCCGGTCTGGCCAGCCTCCCACCCCACCCCACGCTTCCTGTCCCCACCTCTCTCAAAAGCATCACGGATCTCTGAGATGCGCAGCTGGGCCCCCGACACCCGGAAGATGCCCTCGTGCTGCAGGCCTGTGGGAGAACAAAGGGCTGGTGGGCACCGAGGCCTCCCCCACCCCCCAGATGGGTGCCAGGTGCCGGGTGCCAGGCTTACCGTTGAGGTTAATGAAGCGGACACAGCTCTCCACCACCAGGGGCACGGGCTGGCCTGAGCTCTGGGGACAGAGAGGGTGTTCACATTTCTCTGGACACGGCACATCCCACCTTGTCCTCTCTCTCATTTTTTGTTGTTGTTGTTGTTGTTAATCCTCACCCGAGGATATTTTTCCATTGATTTTTTTTCCAGTTAAAGGTTCTTTTTAGTTTTGCAATCGCATTCCATACGAAAGCAATAAAAACTTAACAGTCTTAACTAGAAGTTTACAATGGAATGTTGGAACAGAAAATCTGTATACATTACCATTTACAACAATTTTACATGGTAAATTAACTGTGTAAAAAAATGTTATTTCTAAATCCCTTTGCTGCTGTAACTCTTGGAGTACTATTTGTAGAAGGCCTACCTGGCACTATTTACAAATACCCAATTTAGAATGCATAACTTACATAACCTATTACTTTAGTATCTATCTTTGACTAGTCTGTGCTCTGTGTGCGGGGGGGGGGTCATTGATTTTTAGGGAGAGTGGGAGAGAGAAGGCAAGACAGAGAGAAACATCGATGGGAGAGAACACATCGATTGGTTGCCTCCTGCACGTGCCCCAACCAAGAGCCCGGGCCAGGGAGGAGCCTGCAACCAAGGTATGTGCCCTTGACCGGAATCAAACCTGGGACCCTTTGGTCCACAGGCCAATGCTCTATCCACTGAGCCAAATCGGCTAGGGCCAACTTGTCTTCTCTTAACAATGTATTATGGTTGCTGGCCACGAGGCCTGGCAAGCTGCATGCAAGATCGGCTCCCAGGTGTCTGTGTCCCTGGTGCCATTTTGGGGAGAGCCTTACACTTTCCTTGCTAACTATTGCTGGCGCGTGAAAATGTAATCCAATTCTGTATGTTGACCTCTAATCAAGTAGCATTGCAAAACTTGAATTTGTACGTTTAAATAGTCTGTCGACTCTATTTGGAATGTTTACACACATAATCACAGCATGAAAAATAATAGCCGCTGCCGGAGGCTTTCTGTGGATGCGTGTTACTAGCTAAGGACGTTCCCCTCCATCAGTGGAGGCCCCGCAAAGGCCCACCCAGGAAGGTGGGCTGACAAGTGTGTGGCAACAAAGGACACTGGGGTCATAGGCAGCCGGGCCACAGAAGTGGCCCAGGGCCAGAGAGAGACCAGAATGCAGGCCTGCATTTATTTATTTTTACACATATTTTTATTGATTTCAAAGAGGAAAGGAGAGAGAGGCAGAAACATCAATAATGAGGGAGAATCACTGATCAGTTGCCTCTTGCACGCCCCATACTAGGGATTGAGCCCACAACCCAGGCATGTGCCCTGACTGGGAATCGAACCGTGATCTCCTGGTTCATAGGTCAACACTCAACCACTGAGTCACACTGGCCGGGCAAGGGCCTGCATTTAGTTGGAGCGTGAGGCAAGGCAAGTACCTGGATAAACTTCTCCATGTCTCCCCCGAAGAGTTTATGATGATACTGGGAGCTGGGGCGGGGGTGGCGGCTCTTCTGGAATTTTCTCTGTGTGTACTGGGCGCTGTGATGAATGGGAGCTTGCTCTGAGGGTTTCGGGCATGGAGAATAGGATGCCCCACCCCAGAACCCACTGGGCAAAGTGGGAAATCGAGGCCACAGAGCAATGAGCAGCAGAGCTGTGCCCCAAGGACAAGGGAGGTGGGGCCATCACAGCTTGACCCCTGCAGAACCCCAGCTCCCTGAAACCAACCAGCCCCTCATGAAGGACTCACCAAGGCGCCTCCTGCTCCTCCTTGTCACCTGGGGAACAGAAAGTGTTGGTGTGCCTCTCGGGCCAGGAGGTCCTCAAGGCACTGCAGAGAGGAAGGTGTGGCCTGAAGGCCAAGGGCAGTAGCAGGGCCAAGGGTGCAATAGAGGCCAGGAACCTGGCTGGATTATTTCCTTCACATCAAGCAACCTCTCTGGGCAGAGAGGAGCATGGGTGGGTGGGGTTCCAAGGCAGGAGAGCCAAGGGCAGGTGCTGCTCCTGGCCCTGGGGGTGGCGTGAAAGAGACTAAGGGGGCCGGGAGTAGGGCCCACCTCGCTGAATGGCCTCCTGCAGTTTCTCATGCTTGGCCTGCAGCTTGGCAAGGATGCTCCGCCCACTCAGGTACTCCTGGAGTTTCTGGGAAGCCCCCAAAAGAACCCGCAGTTTTAGTCCCAGCTCTGGGCCCTCCCTGTACCCCACCCCTGCCCCCCAGCCTGGCTCTTCCCACCGTGATGTAGAAGGTCTCAGTCTCCTGCTGCTGGCCCCGCCTCCGGCCCGCCTGCCGAGCACCTGGGTCCGAGCTGGTGGACTTGAGGGACTCAGTGGAGGGACAGGCCTGGAAGGAGTCAAGCATGTCCCCATCTTCCAATGCCACCACTTCCAGCAGGGCCTGCAGTGTGGCCTTCAGCGTTTTGTTCACCTGGGGAGGAGACAGGGCAGGAAGAAATGGGGGACAGGCAACGGACAAGAATCCAACTCTGGCCCGGCCAGTGTGGCTCAGTGGTTGAGCGTCGACCTATGAATCAGGAGGTCACGGTTCAATTCCTGGTCAGGGCACATGCCTGGGTTGTGGGCTCAATCCCTAGTGTGGGGTGTGCAGGAGGCAGCCAATCAATGATTCTCACACATCATTGATGTATCTAACCCTCTCTCCCTTTCCCTTCTTCTCTCTGAAATCAATTTAAAAAATATATATGTATGTATTTTTTAATCCTCACCCGAGGATATTTTTCAACTGATTTTTAGAGAGAGTGGAAGAGAAAGGGAAAGACAGAGAGAAACATCGATGTGAGAGGAAAACATCGATTGGTTGCCTCCTGCATGAGCCCTGACCCAGGCCGGAGAGAAGCCTGCAACCAAGGTACGTGCCCTTGACCGGAATCAAACCCGAGACACTTTGGTCCACAGGCCGATGCTCTATCCACTAGGCCAAACCAGCTAGGGCTATAAAATATATTTTTTTAAAAAGAATCCAACTCTGAAGGAAGAGGAAGGGAGGTTATGGCCATCTGGTTCTGTGTCTCCAAGTCCCTATCCCCCACGCCAGGCCGGGCCACTCATACCTCCTCTGTTTCTATGGTTTGTCGGTCCAGGCGGCTCTGGATATTCTGGGCTCTGGGCAGAATCTCGTCCCGCAGCTCCACCTCCACCTGGATCTCAGCCACCTGCAAAGGGCAGCGTCAGGGAACTGGGGCCGAGCCTGAAGACAGAGAGCTCAGACGTGGGAGTGGGGGCAGGGGCGGGCACTGAGGTCTGCGGGGCACGAGGGAACTGAGCACATTCCACTGCCTCATGTACAGGACCAGCAGGCCTTGACGCTTTTGTACATCTGCATCCGAACAATAGCAAGGGCGCCGCCCCAAGAGAAAGGAGCATGCCCAGACTTGCGCATGGATGCTCATGGCTGCACACTCATAACAGCCCAAAGGCAGCAGCAACCCCAGTGCCCAACAGCTGATGAATGGATCAGCAAGCGTGGCGCATCCACGCTAAATAGAATGTTATTCAGGCACGAAAATGAATGAAGTCCTGGCTGATCCCTGCTACAAGGTGGGTGAACCTTGAAGACATTCTATTGAGTGAAAGAAGCCAGACACAAAGGCCGTATATTCCCTGAGTCTATTTACATAAAATGTCCAGAAGAAGCAACTCCATAGAGACAGAAAGGATATTAGTGGGTGCCAGGGGCTGGGGGAGGGGAATGCAGGGTTAAGTGTCTAATGGGAACAGAGTTTCAATTTGGGAAGATGAAAAAGTCCTGGAGGTGGATGGTGGTCGTGGTTCGTGTGCTTAATGCCACTGAACCGTACACTTCAAAAATGGTATATCTTATGTATATTTTACCACAATGATAAAAAATAATCTCCACCAAAAAAACTATTAGAAACAATAAACAAATACAGTCAAGTTGCAGGATACAGAATCAATATGCAAAAATTCATCACCTTCCTGTATACTAACAAAATTTCTTCAGAAAAAGAAATGAAGAAAAAGAAAACAATTCCTGCCCTAGCTGGTTGCATTGGCTTGGGGACTGAAGGGTCCCAGGTTCGATTCTGGTTGAGGGCACATGGCCGGGTTGTGGGCTCGATCCACAGTAGGGGGCGTGCAGGAGGCAGCTGATCAATGATTCTCTCTCGTTGATGTTTCTAGCTCTCTCTTCTTCTCCCTTCCTCTCTGAAATCAATAAACATATATTTAGAAAAAAAACACACAAAAAATAACCCCCAAAAAACAATTTCTTTTGCAATTGCAACCAAAAGAATAAAATACCCAGGAAAAAAACTTAACAAAGAACATGAAAGACCTATATACTGAAAATTACAAAGCTTTATTAAAAGAGATAGAAAAAGACATAACAAAATGGAAAAATATTCCATGCTCATGGATTGGAAGAATCAACATAGTTAAAATGGCTATATTACCCAAAGCAATATACAGACTTAATGCAATCCCATCAAAATCCCAATGTCAATTTTTAAAGAAATAGAATGAGAAAGCATCAAATCTGTATGGAACCACAAAGGACCCAGAATAGCCAAAGCAATCCTGAGAAAAAAGAACAGAGCTAGAGATATCACGCTACCTGACTTCAAATCATACTGCAGAGCTTCGATAATCAAAACAGCATGGTATTGGCAGAGAAAAAGACACACAGATCAATGGAACAGAATAGAGAGACGAGCTATAAAATCACGTGTATGCCCTAGTGGCATGGCCCAATAGTTGAGCATTGACCTAAGAACCCAGAGGTCATGGTTCGATTCCTCATCAGGGCCCATGCCCGGATTGTGGGCGTGATACCCAGTGTGGGGCATGCAGGCAGCCAATCAATGATTCTCTCTCATCATTGGTGTTTCTGTCTCTCTCCCTCTCCCTTCCTCTCTGAAATCAATAAAAATATATATTTTTTAAAAACCACATGTGCCGAAACTGGTTTGGCTCAGTGGATAGGCAGGGGTGGGCAAACTTTTTGACTCGAGGGCCACAATGGGTTCTTAAACTGGACCGGAGGGCCGGAACAAAAGCATGGATGGAGTGTTTGTGTGAACTAATATAAATTCAAAGTAAACATCATTAAAAAAAAGGGTACGGTTTTTTTTTTTTTAGTTTTATTCATTCCAACCAGGCCGGATCCGGCCCGCGGGCCGTAGTTTGCCCACGGCTGACCTAGGGCCAGGGGGAAGGGAACAATGGGGACATTATTGTTTAATAGGTATGGAATTTGAGTTTGAGATGATGAAACATTCTGGAGAATGGACAGTGTTCATGGTTGCACAGCAGTGTGAATGTATTTGATGCTGCTGAACTATACGCTTAAAAATGGTTAATAGGGAAAATTTTATGCTAGGTATATTTTACCAGGATTTAAAAAAGTAAAGTAAACCAGTGAGATGCACCTATGAAAAAACAGTGGTACAATCTGGATGTACAAGGCAGGATGATGTCTTTTTGCTGTTATTTTCTTTTCATTTTTACCTATTTATTTACTAGCTACTTATTTAAAATTTACTAGATAAATTGTATCTAATATAGTCATTCTTAAGTCTTAGAGTTATTTCTTAGAGTTACTGTAGATATTTATATGTTATAGATTACTACCATAGGCCAATTTGGAACAGAAGATTCTAAGTACACTTCCCTGTAGATTCTGTCTTAAGGAGCTGAAGGGTCCCGGGTTCGGTTCAGTCAAGGGCACATGCCCGGTTGTGGGCTTGATCCCCAGTAGGGGGCATGCAGGAGGCAGCTGATCAATGATTCTCTCTTATCATTGATGTTTCCATCTCTCTCCCTGTCCCTTCCTCTCTGAAATCAATAAAAAAATATTAAAAAAATAAATATAATATCCGAAACAATAAGTTACATAAAAGAAAATATAGATATCACACTTATGAATCTTGGTCATAGAGAACATTTTATGAACTTGACTCCAAGGGAAGTAAAGGCAAAAATAAATGAATGGGATTATATCAAACTGAAAAGCTTCTGCACAGCAAGAGAAACAGACAACAAAACAAAGAGGCAGCCAACAAGATGGGATACGATATTTGCAAATAGTAGCTCCAACGAAGGTTGTCTCCTGCACACCCCCTACTGGGGATGTGACCGCAACCAAGGTACATGCCCTTGACCGGAATCGAACCTGGGACCCCCCAGTCCGCAGGCCAACGCTCTATCCACTGAGCCAAACCGGTTAGGGTCATATACACAATTGAATACTACTCAGCCATAAAAAGGATGAAATAGTGCCATTTGCAACAACATGGATGGACCTTGAGAACATTATGCTAAGTGAAATAAGTCAGTCAGAAAAAGCTAAGAACCATATGATTTCCCTCATATGTGGGATATAAAACTGAAACTGGTGAACACAAACAGCAGTGTGGTGGTTGCCAGAGGGAAGGGAATGGGGGGAGAAGGGGTCCTAATATAAGGTGACAGGAGATTTGACTTTGGGTGGTGGGCACACAGTGCAATATACAGATCTTGTAACATAGAAACCTACACCGGAAACCTGTATGTTCATGTTGACCAATGTCACCCCAATAAATTTAACAAATAAATACTATTTAAAAGACTATCAAGGCCATAGGGAGCACTGAGGTTAGAAGACCCACCCTCTCAAAACCCACACGATTGGCAGAAAGCTAGAGATTTACTCTCGGGAAAGGATAAATCAGAGGAATGCTGGACTCAGGTCCACTAGTCACAGCTGAAGGTGATGAAACTCCCTACTGATGAGAAAGAGCAAGGCAGCCGCCGCCATCTGGAGCTGGCCGGGCACTCACAGCTGGGTCTTGGTGCTGTCCCATTGACCATAAGGAATGTCAGAGAGCATCAGCATCAGACAAGGCCCCTCTGTGACCATGAGGGGTGAAGACAAAAGCATGACCACCTTGTAATCATGTCTGCGCACAAACAAAAACGCTGTCCAAGCCACAAATATAAGCGAACTTTCCTCTGTCCCAGCTCCTGAGTGACTGCTGCTTCCTCACCGAAGACAGCTTTAGCTTCCCTTCATCACTCACCCTGACTTCCAGATAAGACCTTTTTTGTTGTTAATCCTCACCCAAGGATATTTTTCTGTTGATTTTTTTAAAGAGTGGAAGGGAGAGACACAAAGAGAAATATCAATGTGAGAGAGACACATCAATTGGTTGCTTCCCACACATGCCCCACCCGGAGCCTGCAACCAAGGTACGTGCCCTTGACCGGAATCGAACCCACAACCCTTCGGTCCAAGGGCCAACACTCTATCTACTGAATCAAACCGGCTAGGGCTAGATAAGACTTATTAAGACACACACTCAGAGTTACCCCTGCTTCCTGTCAACATCCAAGCCAGAGTCAAGCCTCTCTCCCAACTCCCCTCCCCCCATTCTAGGCCAAGTCCTAGAGTTTTTCCTTGGAACCTCTTACTGAGATGCACCTCCTCGGTTCCCCAAGGTGTGGGTCTCCCTCGCAGCATTGATGTGAGTCCCTGCCCAGCCACCCTGAGGGGTAGGGCACTGTTGACCAGCTCTGCTCACACACATCACATTTTTAAAAATTGATTTCAGAGAGGAAAGGAGAGGGAGAGAGGGATAGAAACAGTAATAATGAGAGAGAATCATAGATTGGCTGCCCCCATCATGGCCCCCTCACCCCCGCACTGGGCTTGGAGCCCACAACCCAGGCATATGCCCTGATCAGGAATCGAACCGTGACCTCCTGGTTCATAGGTGGATGCTCAACCACTGAGCCACGGCGGCTGGGCCACACCATGTATTTCATTCCCCTCTCTGTGTCTCCTCTTAAATATGAACTGATGGCCAAGTCAGCCATTTCAGGGAAACTCTAAAATGGAAGACAGATCAATTTGTTTTTTAAAACAAATTTTAAAAAATACTGGAAGAAGCTCTAGCCGGTTTGGCTCAGTGGATGGAGTGTCGGCCTGCGGACTGGGGGGTTCCGGGTTCAATTCCAGTCAGGGGCATGTCCCTTGGTTGCTGGCACATCCCCAGTGGGGGGTGTGCAGGAGGCAGCTCATCGATGTTTCTGACTCTCTATCCTTCTCCCTTCCTCTCTGTAAAAAATCAGTAAAATATACCTTTAAAAAAATACTGGAAGAAAATGCAAGGAACAGAGAAAATTGTCAAGCAAACAAAAATAAACACTGCAGAAAGATTTGAGAAGATACTGTATTCGTGAAACAAGAACAAAGGATTATTTTAAACAGGAATTTGGAAAACAAAACAGAACTCTTAGAAACAAAAGTATGAAAGTACACTTTTTAAAAAATTCAACAAGGGTTTGGAAGAGGTCGTTGAAGAAATCTCTCAGAAAGCAGAATTAAAAGGCATAGAGATGTGGAAATAGGAAAGAGCATAGATAAGGAAATTAGAGAATTAACCCATGAGGTCCAACATTTAATTACAAGAAGTCTCATTTTATTTTATTTTTCAATTACAGTTGACAGTCAATATTATTTTTATGTTCGTTTCAGGCATGCAGGAGGCAGCCGATCAATGATTCTCTATCATCACTGATGGTTCTGTCTCTCTCTCTCCCCCTCCCTTCCTCTCTCTGAAATCAATAGAAATATATTTTAAAAAGTAAAAATAAGAGCGAGCGCACAGATTGCGTGGCACGGTGGAAAAGGTGAGAGGACTATTACAGGGATATGGTGGGGCTGAGCCCTGGTCATGCATGGAAGGAAATCAGCGGAGCCTATGGAAAGTTGAAAAGCAACTAGCAGCCGCTGCATGATCTGAACACGCAGACGGAAGGTCCAGAAGCAGCAGCTAGAAGACGGGGAAGTAGCTATTTTGGGGGAGTAGGAATCAAGAACAGAAAGGGTGAGGTCAAGAATGGCTGTATGCCACTGGAAGCCTGGAGTAACCTTTGACTTTTTCTTTCTTTTTTTTTAAATGTACTTTTAATGATTTCAGAGAGAGCAAAGGAGAGGGAGAGAGAAACATCAATGAGGAGAGGGAATCACTGATCAGCTGCCTCCCACACGCCCCACACTGGGGATCAAGCCTGCAACTTGGGCATGTGCCCTGACCGGGAATTGAACCGCGACCTCCTGGTTCATAGGTTGCTGCTCAACCACTGAGCCACGCCGGCCCGGCATCTTTGACTTTTTCAACCATTATTTTGGTCAAAAGACAGATAAAATAACTGAAAGCTCCATGCAATCCCAGTCCATGCGCAATGCCCATTAGGATAAACTGATAAAGGAAAAAAATAGTGCAGAGACAAGTAAAAAGATGCCTAGTGCCTGGCTGGCATGGCTCAGTGGTTGAACATTGGCCTATGAACCAGGAGGTCACAGTTTGATTCCAGGTCAAGGCACATGCCTGGATTGTGGGCTCCATCCCCCTGCACACCCCACACTGGGCTCCATGCCTAGCCCTAGCTGGTTTGGCTCAGTGGATAGACCCTCAGCCTGCGGATTGAAGGGTCCCAGGTTCCATTCCCAGTCAGGGCACATGCCCAGGTTTCGGGCTCCATCCCCAGTAAGGAGGGCATGCAGGGGGCAGCCGATCAATGATTCTCTCTCATCATTGATGGTTCTATCTCTCTCTCCCTCTCCCTTCCTCTCTGAAATCAATAAAAACATATTTTAAAAAACAACAATGCCTAGCTATATCTTACTGCTTGTATGGTTTATTTCCCTCCAAGTCTGTTATGAAATGTCTAAAACATACAGAACAATTGGAAGAAGACTATACAGATAGCCATAAGCCCACCTACCACTTGGTGTCAACACTGGTGATATTTTTGCTGTGTTTGCCGTTGGGGTAGGTGGGTGCTCATTCGCTGAGTGAACTGCAATGAGCCACAGAAATTTGTTTGCTTCAAATGCAAGCGTGGAGACGTCATTTGCCTCAAGGCCATTGAATGAGGGTCCGAGAAATAAGCTACATTCGAGTTTCAACCCCTTAGCAAAGTGAAATTCATTGACTTACCTGAAGGGCAGAGAACGCAAAGCCCTTGGCGTCGATGCTGGGGGCATTAAGGGGCAGGGGCGGTGACCCTCACCTCATCCCCCTCATGGGGCTGGTAGTCAAAACGCTGCGGGGGGCAGAAGGCGACCGAGTGCACCTCCAGCACCTTGGCCTTGTCCCCTGGAGGATCTAGGGCCTCCACCGCCTCCTCCAGGCTGCCCAGGCCCTGCATCTGGGAGGCTTGGGTGCGGCTCTCGGCAGCCGTGTAACTCCGGAGCACCTGCCCCAGGGCCAAGTGGAACCCTGTGTCACAGCACTGGGGAGAAAGCAAGGACACGGCTCGGGCGGGCCCCAGGGCACTGGGCACCAACTCCCGCGCCTGTCCACCTCGCACTCACGTCCATGAGGTCCAAGACGTCATACAAGTAGTAGTTGCTGACTGCGGCGTTGACACTGGCCAGGCTGAGCAGGTACTCGTTGCGCGCCTTCGTGCACTTCAGTTTGTGCTCCAAGAACTTGGCCTGACGCTGCTCAGGACCACGCAAGTACAGCAGGGTCATCTACCCGGCCATCCCCCACATTCTTTCCCCCTCCCTACCCTCTCCACATGGACAGCTACAGCCGAAGTCCCACAGGCCCCTCAACAGCATGGCCAGAAACCCCGACGTGCTCAGCCACCCCTCCTGACTGCGCACAAACCCTGCAGCCTCGGGCTGGCAACCCCAGCTCCACCTCAGCTCTTCCCAGCTTGGTGCCTCTACATTCTGATATTCTTGCCACCCTCAACCTCTCCATCCTCTCTTCAAATGCTCCTTAACCCTGCACATCACCCCAGCACCCACTCTCCGTGTCTCCTTGCGCCTCTGAAACCTCACGGCACTGCAGGAGGCAGGGAGGGTGAGTGGAAAGGCCCCTGGGCTTGGAAGCACCAGAGTTCTCTTCGCCCCTGATGAGCTGGGGGGCAGACAGCCCAGGCCCTCCTCTTCCAGCCCTGCCAGAGGTCTGTGGCTCTCCCCTCCGCAGCCCTGCCTTTCCCCCACCACCTTCTAGCAGGCCCTGGTCAGGGCCAGGGGCTCAAAGGGACAAAGGCCAGGAGCCATAGCCTTGAAACTGACCCATGGCCTCCAGGCCCACCTTTTCTACCACTCGTGATCCCTTCTTGACGGAGGTCTTGCGCAGGGGCCCTGCCTCAGTCGGGGTGGTGGCCGTGGCAGGAGCAGCACTGCGGCCAGCCCGCTTCTCCTCCTGCCGCTCAGCTTCCCGGAGCTTGGCCTCGGCATTCATGCTCTCCGTGTGATACACCTGGTATGTCTTCTTGGCCTGTACGGGGGCCCAAGGCCAGGCAGCCCTGCTGAAGGCCAAGGCCACAGCCAGCCCTCCCCGTCCTCCTCCCAACCGCTCAGGGACTCAGACCTGAGAGTAAGGTAATCCCATATGAGCTCCTAGCCCACCCAGCCTGTGCCCAGAGCAGGGAGAAAGGGCCATGCTTGCAGTCCTTGAAACGTAGGGCTCTCCTGGACACCCGATCTGCCTCCTTGGGCCTGGAGGGGGTGGGGGGTGGGGTTGGGGATGTAATATGAGAGCCTCCCTCTGATTGGCATCCTCACCGTCTGAAGCTCGGACACCACCTCCAGGAGCTCTTCCTGCAGCTGCTGCTCCAGATCCTTACTCTGGGGAGGAGGGGAAACGTGACAGAATCACTGCCCCAGTGCGGCACCCACCGCTGTCCTGCGATGGTCACCGCACCTCAGCCGGGCACTCAAGGCTCCCCCCAGCCTGACACCCATTTGGTCCCTTAGCCCTCCCAGCCCCGATGCCTCTGGATTGCGTACCCACAGGCCTCCCTTGATAGATCCTGAGGCCATTCACACCTCCTAGACCCAGGATCAGGGCCTTACCTTCTTTTTTAAAAAAAAAAAATGTATTTGTATTGATTTCAGAGAGTAAGGGAGAGGGAGAGAGGGAGAGAAACATCAATGATGAGAGAGAATCATTGATCAGCTGCCTCCTGCACACCCCACACTGGGATCGAGCCCGCAACCCAGGCACGTGCCCTGACAGGGAATCAAACCGTGACCTCCTGGTTCATAGGTCGACACTCAACCATTGAGCCACGCCGGCCAGGCAGGGCCTTACCTTTTTTTTTAATTAATTAATTAATTTTTATATTTTTATTGATTTCAGAGAGGAAAGGAGAGGGAGAGATAGAAACATCAATGATGAGATAGAATCATAGATTGGGTGCCTCCTGCACCCCCCCCCCACTGGGGATCGAACCCACAACCTGGGCATGTGCCCTTGAACCCTTCGTCTGAAGGCAGATGCTCTATCCACTGAGCCAAACCAGCCAGGGCATGGGCCTTACCTTCTTGACTATGCGCCCCACATCCTCCGCAATGTGACTTAAGCGCTGGACCAGTGGCCCGGCCAGCACCTCGCTGAGGGCCGCACTGTCCCGGCTCTGCTGCCGAGTCTGCTGCAGCAACACGGCCCAGCAGTGCAAGGATGAGAGGAGGGTCGGCTCCTTCCTGGGGACAGAGGGGCACTCAGACTGGGAGCAGGGCTTGAGCCCAGGCACGGCCATCCTGCCAACCAGGACCTACCGGAAGCTTTGATACTCGCGGCTGCTGCCCCCCAGGCGGCCTCCTCGGCTGGAGAAGCGCTCGGCCAGCTTGTCCAGGCCCCGGGAGTACTCTAGCTCCACCTCGGCCCTGCGCCGCATGAACTCGGACAGCTCCTGCAGCAGCTCCCGCCGCAGCTCCCCTTGCAGCTCCAGGCAGCGCAATTGCTCACTCAGCTGCGAGCGCATCTCTGTGGGGAAACCGTGGCTCAGGCCTGGGCAGCAGGCTGTCCTGTCTGCCTGTCTGCCCTGAGGGTGATGGCTGGGGCAGGAGGGGAAGAAGGAGGCCCCCAGGGAGAAGTTCCAGGTTCAGACGTCCAGCTGGGCTCAGATCAGTCCTGAAGGTAGGGACCTCTGGGCTGAGGCTAAAGGGAACCAGCCGAGCCCAACTGGTTGAAGAGGAACAGGAAGGCTATTTCAGGGAGAGGGGAGAGCCATGCAAAGGTCCAGGGGTGAGAGGGAGCATGGCAGATCCAGGAGCCAGATGTGATGGTGAGAACACAAAGCTGCCCTAGCCCCATCTTGCCCTGTCCCAGCCAGGCGCCATTCACTTAGGCTTCCCATAACTCCCCGGTTTCTGGAAAGCCCCAGAATTGCTTCCCCTGCCACTTCCTGCCCCTTAGATGCCCAGGACCCCAGGCAAAACAGCCTCCCTACAAAAGCAGACACACGGGGCTGCACAGCATGGTGGCTGTGGCGCGCTGCCAAATCTGCAGTGAACTTGTGGCCAAGGCAGCCTCATGGCCAGGTCAACAGCCTTTGGGGGGGGGGGGGGGGGGGGTGCTGGTCAGAGCTAACAAGTGAAGGGAGTGAGGAAGCTGGCCTGTCTTCTGTCCCCAGTTCCCACTCCTGATCACCCACCCCAGGACACCCCCAGTCCCACCTCCCTGCAGATAGAGCCCCACCCGGGGCCCCCACTCTGCTGGCTTTTGACACCTTATCACTGGCTTGATTAAGCAACGCTGCTTTCCCCACACAGACCTACAGCCAAGAACCGCCTGAATGACGAGCTGAAGCAACGGCTGCAAACACTTTTGCCGCCCACTGCGTGCCCAGGTGGGAACTGGGGCTCCTGGGTAAATAAGTCACTGTCCTGGCTTCTGGCAAGCAGGTCACCCACTGACTAATCTGTCCATGTGCCTCGGGAGGGACATTAACTGCTTTCTTCATTCCGCAGAAAGTTGACTACATACCCAGTTTGCGCCAGGCGCGTTCTGGACGCAGAGAGGGCTGACCGAGCGAGCGCCTGCCCTCATGGAGCTGAGATGGGAATGGGGAACAGAGAGCTAGTGAACAGACCAGAGCAGGGGGCCGGGAAGGGTTCTTTTAGAGGAGGGTGGTCAGGAACAAGTGACACTGGAGCCGAGAACTAAAAGAAAGCAAGGGAGGAGCCGTGGGGACAACCGGGGGGAAGAGCATTCAGGCAGAGGGAACAGTGAAGGTGGTTGGAGCCAGTGTGGCTGGTCAGCGGTGCCAGGGGAAGTGAGGGAGTCTGAGAGGCTAGTGGGGGGCACAGGGAGCCTAGGCCAGGAGGAGGTCAAATGCCAGAGGGAAGCGCCCAGCCCAGTTGGCCGCTACTGCACCAGTCCAGGCAAAAGACAATAAGGGCTCGGTCCAGGGAGCCAACCTGCGAGGATTGGTGAAGTGGCTTTGAGAGGACTCCACTGTGGACAGTTCAGTCCCGGTACCATTTGGATTTCTGTGCCGCCAGTGACTTCCCAGGGGTGTGGCATGTGGAGCAGCCCTAGTGGGTTCTGCCTGCTGGGCACCCCCATCTCCAACTCTGATCCCCCTTTGTGGAACACCCCTTCCTATTCCCGGCCCCTGGGTCCCTCTCCCTGACTCCAGGTGCCCCAGATGTGGCTGCATCCATAACTAGTCCCTCGACCCCTTCACCCCCACCATTGGCTCAGTGATGGGCACAGGGGCCACAGTCTGCACACTTTCACTAAAATTACTGAAAAGATGCCCAGCCAGCATGGCTCAGAGGTTGTGTCAACCTATGAACCAGGAGGTCCCGGTTCGATTCCCGGTCAGGGCACATGCCCGGATTGCAGGCTCGATCCCCAGTGTGGGGTGTACAGGAGGCAGCCGATCAATGATTCTCTCTCATCATTGATGTTTCTACCTCTCTCTCTCCCTCTCCCTTCCTCTCTGAAATCAATAAAAAATATAATTAAAAATAAATAAAATAAAATTAGTGAAAAGGTGCTCTTTTTCCACTGAGGGGTCAAGCTGGGTAAATGGAAGCCTGGGGAAGGCAGGAGTGGGGGGTGAGGGGCAACTTCCTGACAGGGAAATCAATGCAGACCAGGGCAGAGGCAAGCAAGACAGGGTCTTTCTATCATCTGAGGCTGGGCTCCAGTGGCTGACTCTCAGCTCCGCAGGCCAGGTGGAGTGCCTTCATTGATTCGGGGTAACATTTTGCGAATAAAAGTAAATTTCATTTCATTGCGAGAAACGTCTGAAACCTCAAAGCTCACCTCACCTTCCTCTGGCATCTGCCCCGCCTTCCTGGAGCAACAGCTCCCTGGGGACAATGACAGTTCTGAATGGACCAGCCTGCCACACTGTTTCATTTATTCTTCAGGGCAGCCTTGCCTGGATCAGGATCCAGACATGCGCACTGGCTGGTGTCAAGTAGGAGACTTGGGAATTAGCGCTCTCTAAGCACCAAGACCTGGTGCCTGGTCCCAGCCTCGAGGCTATGTCTCTGTCCACCTCTCAGATCTCAGCTCAGATGCATGCATCAGAGAACCCTTCCCTGACCTCTTCCCAAACTAGGACTGGCCCTCTTCCCACCCCCTTTCTAGACATCCGGGCTTTCCCTTTATAGTGGTTAGATTCATAATTAAAATTGTGTGATGTCACCCATCCAGTGTTGCTCAATGGTTGAGCATCAACCTATGAACCAGGAGGTCACGATTCAATTCCCGGTCAGGGCACATGCCCGGGTTGCAGGCTTGATCCCCAGTGTGGGATGTGCAGGAGGCAACCGATTAATGATTCTATCTCATCATTGGTGTTTCTCTCTCTCTCTCCCTCTCTGAAATGAAAATGTTATTTTAAAATAAAAATAATTGCCCTGGCCAGTTTGGCTCAGTGGATGGAGCGTCGGCCTGTGGACTGAAGGGTCCCAGGTTCGATTCCGGTCAGGGGCATGTGCCTTGGTTGTGGGCACGTCCCCAGTGGGGAGTGTGCAGGAGGCAGCTGATCGATGTTTCTTTCTCATCGATGTTTCTAACTCTCTATCTCTTCGCCCTTCTTCTCTCTAAAAAATCAATAAAATATATTTTTTAAAAATTGTGTGAGGGCATGTACCTTGGTTGCGGGCACATCCCCAGTTGGAGATGTGCAGGAGGCAGCTGAGCGATGTTTCTCTCCCACTGATGTTTCTCACTCTCTATCCCTCTCTTTTCCTCTCTGTAAAAAGTCAATAAAATATATTTTAAAAAAATAAAAAATAATAAAAAAAATTGTGTGATGCCTTGTTTACTAGATGTCTCTGAGCTGTAAGGACGGAAGCGACTGGTTCTCTTTTACTCAGCAAAAGAAACAGAATAGATGTATAGAAAACATCTGTCATAAGGAAGGATGGAATCCACTGTGCTTGGGCCCCACCAGCACTTCCTGTGAGCAAGGCCTAGGTCTCACTTCTGCTGACAAGCAAAGCAGAAGAGAAGATGGCCTCCCGACCACGACTCTGCTGACCTGTCAGAATTTAGGGTGCCAAGACAGTGATCCTGTTTTCTAGCCTGGTAGGAAGTTTC